CGTCGTGTCCTTTGTCTCTGTCTCCGTCTCGTCGGCGCGGGTGCGCAGTTGCGCGCTGCGGTCGGGAATGCCGACTGGTGCCTGCAGGGCTCTCTCGATGTCGTCGATGACCATCGCCAGGTGTTCGTTCGGTGCCGTGCGCGGCGGGGCACGGGCGGCGCCTGCCGGCCATTGGATCCGGCGACGCCGCCCCCCTCCGTGCCCAGGATCGCGCGCGCGGGCGCTGTGCAGCGTGGCGCGAGTACCCCAAGCAAGTTGCTGCCCGATTCTCTAGCGATGGATGCCGTGAAACTGCGGATGGTAGCTCGGCCTTGATCATCCGTGGCGGCAACGGGCGTGCTCTCCTGATTGGCGCACTTCTGAATGCTGCTGCGCGCCCCATGGATGTTCAAGGGCTCAATCATGGGAGTCCGCCGGTGCCAGGTGCTATGGCCTTGAGGCTCGGCGGGGCAGCGGGCGCGCGCGCATCTCCCGCGAGGTTGGCCCGCGCTCCTAGGTCCACGATGGCGCCGAGAATCCCCGCGGCGAGCTGGGCGCGGCTGCGACGCGCCTGAGCGGAGCGCTCGCTGGCCGAACCGTCGGCGGGCCACCGGGGGCGCGAGTCGGCCCCTTGCGGCGTGCCTTTGAGAGTTGGATGCAGGGGTGCTGAGCGAGATCTCGCCTATTGGTGCGTCTCGCGGCGCGGCCAATGCTCCGTCGACTTCTGGCGCCACACGGGGCGCGGCGCCCGCCTGGGCGCGCGCGGCCTCGCGCGCCGCCAAATATTGCCCAGGCGCGGGGCATTTCGAGAAGGGCGCCCCGGCCTGGTCGCCGCAAAGTCTTCCTTCCATCGCTCGCATCCGAGCGTCGTTGAAGCTCGCGGCGGCCCAGGCGTCGGCAGAGCTCCGACGGGAACGGCGACCGCGGTGGAAGGCGACGGCAAGGCCCAGATTGACGCATTCGCCCAAGCAGATGCCAGGCGTCGCATCCGCATCTACTTCCGCCCTGCAGTTCCCGATGCAGCACGCAAGTTCGACGGCGGGCGGTGGCGCCGCAGCTTGGGCGCCAGCCATGACCGCGACGATCATAAGCTGGGCGCGCGCGCGTCGGTGGGCACGGCGCCGTTCCATCTGGGCGTCGCGCTCGGCATGGCGGACAGTCGCGCTGAGACTTCGGGGGCCAAGTCGCGCGCGACGCTGGTCCTGATCGCTGCGGTCGGCACTTCAGCGAGGTGTCTATATCCGCGACGACGCGCGCACTCCGGCAGCGCATCTCGTGCTAGCTGACCTTCCCGAAGGCGGGTCAATTGACCGAATCCGCCGCAGCGCGGCGTCGTGATTCGCTGGTCGTCGGGGGCCGCGAGTTGATCCATGGGCTGGGCGGTGGGCCCCGCGCTGCGCTGTTGATCGACGATGCGCATGTCGCGGGGGCAACGCAGAGCGGCAGTCCTGGGCGGCGCGCCGACCTGAGGACGCGCTCCGCCCATCGACGCCGCCGGCTCATCGGCGGCGGTTGCCGAGCCATGGCGCAGCAGCAGCGTTGGAATGTGCCGCGGTCCCGAAGAGGGCGTTGCAATGTGCAACGTCGGAGGTGTCGGTAGGACGGCCTGCGCGCCGGCGCGCGCGCGGCCCTGGAGGGCGGCGAGCGAGGCTGCTGACCGCAATCCGCAGGCAGACCCAGGCAACTGCCAGGGAGCCGTCGATGGCCGGCCGCTCCGGCGCGACGCGGGGCCCCGGCCGCGGCTGAAGAGGGCCCTCGTATCAGTGGCCATAACGGAAACTCCTCAAATGCCGCCCGCGCGCCCTCCAAAGTGGCCGCCGCTGCCGCAACCCCGCGGAGGCGATGAGGTGCCCAGGCGACGCTCTGCAGGAACGCGATGTTCGCTTCAACAGGTTCTGCATGCCACCGCAGCGCCGACCTCGGTGATTGCCGCGCCTGCCGTTCCTCTTGCCTGAAGAGCGCTCGCCGGTGCTCTGTAAGAGTTCCACTCAAGAATACCCGATCAACCGGAGTATCTGAGGGCTCCGTGAGACATGCATGTTTTCGGGCGCTTTGGCCTTTCACCTTGCCAGTTTTTTGGAAGATGTGGCGTTGTGCTTCTTGATGAATGCACGCGCCTCGCACGTCGGACGACGCATGCGTCTGCGCCATTGGCGCGTCGCCGACTTCACCCCCCCAAATAAACGAGCATCTATTCGGGACGTGCTGAAGCCCTGGAAATCTACAGCTTGGCAGTAGAGCCTTCGCCTGGGTCCGAGCTGGTATCTGACCAGGCTCCGCTGGCGCAGTCGGCCCCGTCCGCGGGCGCCCGCGCGGCGGCGGCCGGGCGCGCCGCCCGCGGCGACATGGCGCTCTGCGAGGGGCCCGCGGCGGACGCCATGGCGCCTCCGACGCCAGGGAGCTGGGCGGCGCTGGCTGCCCAGGGGTCAAGGCCCCGAGCGTGCCGGGGGTCCGCCGCAGGCGTGGCGCCACTGCTATCGTTGGTCATGTTCACGAAGCCTCCGAACGACGGCGGCGACGGAAGAGCGCTGGCAATGTTGCTCGGCGGATGCTCCACGATGTGGCCCACGCGTTTGAGCATCGTCGTGAGAGCGTTGAACTTAGGCTCCGTGGCTAGGTATCGGCTGCCGCAGGGCTGGAGCAACGTCATGCGTTGACTAGCTGCGACACTGATTGCTCGGAGCAGCCAGCTGTAGCCTTCCCGAGACATCGCAGCTCCACCGCTGTGCGTAGCGTTGCTCGGTATCGCACCGTGCGAAACCGCGAGAGCAGCGCGTGGGTGGTCTCGTTGCGGCGCCGCGAGAACTCGAAGAGCTCGCGGGTGGCCTGGCGGCGTGACTGCTCGCCCAGTGGGCCGAAATGAATGGGGAGGTCCGCGATGAGGTAGGTAATGGCGTCCTCTTTCTGGCCGTCGACCAGGCCTTCTTCCGAAATCTTCGCGAAGTTCACGGAGCGCGTGAGCTCGCGAGCGGCCCCGCCAAGGTTACGGATGATGGCAGCGCAATGCCGCGCGCTGTACATGTCCGTGGAAAGCACGCTCCACGACGCGAGAGTGTCCTGCACCGCGCGGTGACATGGGCACGCAGACTCGCGCCCGGGTGGCCGCGGGGGCGGCTGGCGGGAGGTGCTCCCGCCAAAACCACCTCCGCCGCTATGTGAGCCGGCTCCACCAAGCATCCTGCAGGCGAGCCTGGGAATTTCGACCACAAAGATGAAGGATAAGAAAAAAAACGAGGAGAATAATACTAATAATAAAAACAGGATGGTGCCCCAGAGCGCCAAAATGGAGATCTTCCTCGATGTGACCCCGCCACGATGAAAGCTGCGGAATCGCCTTGGGGCTCGGGACTGCGCAAAGACGAACGCCGTGTCGAGGCTGGTAGCAGCCGAGGTATGGCTGACTGCCTCGGTCGAAGCCAAGGGTGGTGATTATGGTGCATTAGCGTTCAGTGATCCACTCGAGTGGCGCGACGTGCTCGCATAGACCAAGGCCAACACTGTAGCACACATTACGAAGCACGGTACTAGCCCAGGCAGGTGACTCGCTGTCATGTCCAAAGGGAAGCCACGCCCAGTGCCTGTGGGGTTGTGAGGATATTGAAGTGTCTTGGCAACCTTTTGGGCGGACAATAGCCTCACGTCGCCTTCAGCACTTGTTGCACTCGCTGCCAGCTCCTCACAGCGAGCCGACAGAAATTGCGTATCTGTGAGCGTCCAGGGCGACTTGTCCCTAGACGTGCAAGGCAACCAAAAAGCACAAGCTGCTCAGGGGTTGGAAGGTGCCAACAAATGCTGAGGTGGAAGGAAGTGCGAATGTGCGTCCACATCGCACTCTGCGCACGTTCCGCGGATCGCGAGCTCGGATCGCTCCCAGCTCCGCTACGCACTAGAATTGCGGGGCCTGGAAGCTCGCCGAGAGAAAGCATGGCGGCACTACGGCGTAGACTGTGAGCTGTTCACTCGTCAAAGTACCTGCTGTACGCGCCAACGCTGGAGCCAAACGGCGACAGAGCGTTTTTGAGTGAGGAGGAGGAGGAAAAGGAGGAAGAGGAGGAAGAGGAGGAAGAGGAGGAGGAAGTGGAGGAAGATGAGGAGGATACTAAAGAAGAAGAAGAAGAACGCCACAGTCGTAGCCCTGATGTCTGGTCAACTCAGAAAGCAGGAGGAACAAAAGAAGGACAACATGGAAGAGGAGGACATCCCGGGCGTTGCGTTCATCGGCCAGGGTGTTCTCGAGAGGCGAACCGCGCCGCAGCGATGCGAGGAGCCCCCAGGAGGCCCACAGAGAACAAGAAATGCCCGACAGCCTACTCTTCCTACTCTTTCGTGTCCTCCGCCTCCTCTTCCTGCTACTCCTCCTCCTCCTCCTACTCCTCCTCCTCCCCCTCCCGTTCCTCCGTCTCCTCCTGCTGCTGATCCTCATCATCCTTCCTTCCTTCCGTCCCTCCCTCCCTCCCTCCTTCCTCCTCGTCCTCCTCGTCGTCATCCCTCCGCCTCCTCCTTTTCCTCCTTCTCCTCCTCCTCCTCTTTCTCCTCCTCCTCCGCCTCCTCCTCCTCCTCTGCCTCCTTCACACCAATCTCCTCCTCCTCCTCCTCTCCTCTCCTCTCCTCTCCTCTCCTCTCCTCTCCTCTCCTCTCCTCTCCTCTCCTCTCCTCTCCTCTCCTCTAATCTTCTCTTCCCTTCTCTTCCCTTCACGTTCCTTCTCTTCCCTTCCCCTTCCCTTCCCTTCCCTTCCCTTCCTCCCTCCCCTTCCCTCCCCCCCCTCCCCTCCCCGCCCCTCCCCTCCCCTCCCCCCCATCCCATCCCCATCCCCATCCCCATCCCCATCCCTCCCCTCCCTCCCTCCCTCCCTCCTTCCCTCCTCCTTCGCCTCCTCTTCCTTCCTCCTCCTCCTCCTCCTCCTCCTCCTCCTCCTCCTCCTCCTCCTCCTCCTCCTCCTCCTCCTCCTCCTCCTCCTCCTCCTCCTCCTCCTCCTCCTCCTCCTCCTCCTCCTCCTCCCTCACGTTGCCCCTGAGGCTGCCTTGGCGGGCTCCGCTCCCGAGGGCTCTGGCGGCGGATGGGGCTCCTCCTTCGCGCCCGAGCGCACGGCACCGTCGGCGCGGAGCGTCTGGCGCGCGCGCGCGGGCTTCGCCGCAAGACGACGGCGACGTCGACGGGATCAGTAGAGGAGGAGGAGGAGGAGGAGGAGGAGGAGGAGGAGGAGGAGGAGGAGGAGGAGGAGGAGGAGGAGGAGGAGGAGGAGGAGGAGGAGGAAAAGGAGCAGGAGGAGGAGGAGGAGGAGAGGAGGAGGAGGAGGAGGAGGGAGGAGGAGGAGGAGGAAGAGGAGGAGCCCCAGGGGGGGGAAGTCAGAGGGGGCGGGCCTTCTGCGAAGGCTCGGGGGGCCTCGGGCCTGCCGAGCGGTTCTCGAAGCCTCCTCCCGAAGACACACGAAACTTCTCAGAAGGCGCGAGGGCTTCTGAGAAGCCCCGCCGCCTTCTGAGACGGCCTCCTCCTTCTCGCTTTCCCTCGGCGCGCCGTCGATATCGGTTTTCGAGCCATAATTCGGGTCTCCGGCGGCCCTTCGGGACGATCCGCGCACCCCTGGAACGCCTTCGGCGAGGCGCATCCGCTGGAACGCATCCCGAGGCCGGAAAACCGCCGAGAACCAACAAAAACGCCCGATGACCTCGAACATCGGACCTGGGACTTCCCCCTTCTCAGTTCCCACCCTCGCTCGCCGCCGAGAATCGCTACGCGTTCGGCCGCTTACGGCAGGCTCATGTCGTGACGACCTCTGCGCTGGCTTTCGACACCGCGTGGGATCGTTCCCCCTTCAGCGGTCGCGGCTCTCCGATCGCGCGGATCGTTCGATGCCGGCCGGCTCCAGGCCGCCGGCGGCGTCCACCCTTGAACGGCAGCGCTGAGGTCGCCACACCGCGCCGACACGACGCGAAGCCACCACCCTGAGATCCTGGCGCCTCAAACTGTTCGAGCCGGGCGTTGCGGCCTTGTTTCGGGCTCCGGGACCCTCACGGATCGATCCGGCTCTGAACATGACGCCGCAGAAGGGCCCACGGAGGTCGAGAATATGCCGAGAGGTGGGTCTGGGCCCTCTGGATCGCCCTCGAAGCGGACTGTGCGTCGCACAAGGGGGTAGAGGGAGGGGGGGAGGGCTTCGTGGAAGGAGGCTGCGTCTGAGAAGGCAACTGTAGATGAGGCCCACGCCTTCTAAGAAGCACGGGTGCTTCTATAAGAAGCCCTCCCCCCTCCCCCCACCCCAGAGATCCGATGTCGTGATTTGTTCAATGCGCGGTCCCCGGAAGCCTCGATCCATTCCCCAGGACAGGTTTTTCATCCCGAGTCGTTTTCTGACGGTCCCGAGGCCCGGCGAGGGCCCCTATAGGGGCCGAAATTTGCGCAAAACCTCCGCCTTGATTTTTTTGTCAAGACGTTGGACCTCTGGGTCTGCGCGTGGCTGCATCGAAGCGGACTGTGCGTCGCACCGGGCTGCGCCTCGGACGGGGCCGCGCCGTCCGACGGAGCAGCTGCGCCGCGTCCGCGGAGCGGCTGCGCCGGGCCACGCGCGCTCAGCAGCGCCGTGCAGGCACCGGGGCGCCGCACCGGACCATCGGAGCAGTTACGGCGGGGGCCTCGGGCAAGGAGGGGAACCTTGGATAGGGAATCCAGGGATCCAGGCTCTGAAAGCCTGGTGAGCCCAAATGGTGGATCGGCCGCGGGGATCGCCACCGCCCTCGTCCGATGAGGAATCCTCCAGGGTCTGAGGCCTCCTGGGCACCTTCCTTATCCAATGCCCCCGCCGTATCCAGAGGGCTCCTAGAGTTAGGTCGGGCCTGTCCCCCTACAGGGGGATTTTGGACGAAACATAGAAAATACCCCAGAAATGCCCAAACTTGCTCAAAAGTGGTCACAGAAGATCGTCGCCCGACTCTTCTTGGACTATTTCTGGATATTCCCCCTGTAGAGGGGCAGGCCCGACTCAATTCTAGATGGGATCCGAACAGATGGTGTCGGAGGATCGCGCAGCATCGCCCATGCAGCGGCGATGCATCGGCACGATCGGCGCAGAGAACACCGGGCTCCACATCGAGCCGCATCGGCCCGGCGATGCATCGCCGATGCGGCGCGACCCTTCGACCCCATCTGCTCGGACCCCATCTGGGAGACCTGGAGGATTGGAACCGAAGCGGATCGGGCCAGCCAGAATCGGTACCGAATCAGATCGAAAGGTTAGACATAGGCCCTGCGTCGACGACCTCGTACCGGAGGCGGCTCTTGGCGCGTCTCTGGAGGTCCTCGTCGCCACGGCTCGTCTCAGGGGCGGCCAAGAGGGGAGCGCCCAAGAGGGGGAAGGTGCAAATCATGGCCGGCGGCATGTGCGCGGCCCAGGGGGACGGGCCAGGGACACAATGAAACAAGAAGAGGCGCCGTGAAATCTGGGGAAATATCATGGCCCACACCATGATATCCCCCCCCCTAGTCATCCCCCCCCTTTGCCGCCCCCGATCGTCGCAGCTCGGAAAACCAGCTGGGATGGGACTCGGCGCTGCGGCTCGACGCAGCTCGGACAACTGGCCAGGATGGACCCTGGGCCAGGATGGACCCTGGGCCTGGGGGCAAATTTTGAGGACGCTTCTTGACGACAACAACAACTGCGGGCGACGACGATCATCGACAACGACCCTAGTCCTCGGACGGAGTTATACGACAACGTTGACAGACCTCCAGCGTATTGATTACTTCAATCCGCGGGCACTGGGGGTCTCGGCCACTTCCCCGGAGGGGGGCTTTCTTTCCGGATTATTGTCGGGTGGCCCGAGCACCCAAGAAAGCCCCCTGGGGCCCAAACTGGAAAGGAACAAAAACACGACAGCAAAAAAACACGCCTGATCGCCCCGAGCAAAATGCGACGGCAGAGGCCTGGGACGGCGACGGCGAAGACGACGACGACGACGACGACGACGGCCACGACGACGACGGCGGCGACGACGACGACGACGAACGACGACGACGACGACGACGGCCACGACGACGACGACGACGACGACGACGACCAAGACGGCCACCACGACGACGACTACGACTACGACAGCGACGACGACGACGACGACGACGCCGACGAAGGCCGCAACGACGACGACGACGACAACGACTGCGGCGACGACGACGACGACGACGACGACGACGGCGACGACGACGACGACGGCGACGACGACGACGACGACGATCATAGGGAAACACGAACATGACGACTACGATAGGGAAACATGAACATGACCTGTCGGAGGTCCGCGCAACTTCCCTCCTGCAGCGAGGCGCCAGACCGCCCCTGGAGGCGCCGCCAGGAGCTGGGCCCAGCGCCGACCCAGGAAATCTGCGCGGACCTCCGAGAGTCCATGCTCATGCAGACGTGTTGCTCTTCTAGCTCGGCTTCGATCGTAGTGGGATTGTTTTGTTTCTTCGCCGCTGTCGTCGTCGTCGCCGTCGCCGTCGCCGTCGTCGCCGTCGCCGTCGCCGTCGTCGTCGCCGTCGCCGTCGCCGTCGCCGTCGCCGTCGCCGTCGCCGTCGCCGTCGCAGTGGCCGTCGTCGTCGCCGTCGCCGTCGCCGTCATCGTCGTCGCCGTCATCGTCGTCGTCGTCGTCGTCGGCGTCGTCGTCGTCGCCGTGGCCGTGGCCGTGGCCGTGGCCGTCGCCGTCGCCGTCGTCGTCGTCGGCGTCGTCGTCGTCGACGTCGACGTCGCCGTGGTCGTCGCCGTCGCCGTCGTCGTCGCCGTCGCCGTCGCCGTCGCCGTCGCCGTCGTCGTCGTCGTCGTCGTCGTCGTCGTCGACGTCGACGTCGCCGTGGCCGTCGCCCTCGCCGTGGCCGTGGCCGTCGCCGTCGCCGTCGCCGTGGCCGTCGCCGTCGCCGTCGTCGTCGTCGTCGTCGTCGTCGCCCTCGCCGTCGTCGTCGCCGTCGTCGTCGTTTTCGTCGTCGTCGTCCGCGCGGATTTCCGAAAGCCCATATGCCTGCAGCTGTTCCTTCGGGACGACGGCGGCGGCGACGACGGCGGCGACGACGGCGACGGCGGCGGCGACGACGACGGCGACGGCGACGGCGACGGCGACGGCGACGGCGACGGCGACGGCGAAGGCGACGGCGACGGCGGCGGCAGCCGCAGCCGCCGCGGCGGCCTTCCCGAGGCACTGCCTCGCGAGCAGGGCGGCGAGGAGCACCGCGAGGCACCGCTGCTGCATTCCGCCGGACGTCTCGGCCGGACCCCAGGGGTGGCTCCGGCGCCTCCGAAGGGTGAGGCTTGCCAGGGGTGTGGTTGGCAGCGCGCCCCCGGGCTGCGCCCTGCCAAGGGGGCGCGCCCTGCCGTCGTGGCAGGCACAGCTGCTGGGCGCTCTTGGGCCCCCCGGCCCAGCTCACCACAAGAAGGCGCAATACCATTTCTGTGCATCAGGTGGCCGAGCAGATCACTTCGTGGTGAGGTGCGCCGAGCAGTTCTTGGCGCTGCAACCCAGTGTCTGTGGCCGCGCACGCCCGCCCGGAAAAGGAGGCCAGGAGGGATGGGAGGCGGGCGAGGGCCTCGACAGAGTTCTCCGCCGCGCCCCGAGGAGGCCCGAAGGTGACGCGGTGTCCCCCAAGCCCCAGCGACGCAGGTGGCAAACCACACCCCGGCGTGACCACCCCTTCTGCAGCCGCCGATGGGTGGAGGCCCACATGGGGTCCAAGCGAATCAGGTCGGAGGATCGCGCCCCACCTTGACATCCAGGCCCTGCAAAATTTGTTCGCTGGGCAGTTTCGCCCAGTTACGGGCCCTCGGACAATCACAGAGCGATCCAGCTCATGGTAGCCGCTCGTGGCAGCAGGCACGTTCATAGACACGCCGTGTTCAGTTTTCGGAAGAAAGGCCATTGCCCTAGACGAGGCTTCGCGGGAAGTCCATGCCCTTTGAACTTCTTGCATCTGCACTAACAGCTGAAACTTCTGTGTCTTGAGCTGCGGAACAGAACAGAACAGATCGATCCAGCTCGAAAAATGATGCAGCAAGATAAGGTCTAGGGCTCCCGTCGAGATGTTCGCGATGTCGCAACATTTCGCAACGCTGGATCGCAGGGGCCGACGCATCGACCATGCATCGGCGCCGTCGGCATGGATTAAGTCGAGCTCCACATCGAGCCGCTGCGGCGCGATCCTCCGACCTCATCTACAACCCGAAGACTCGAATAGAATTACGGGTTGTGGGGGTATGGATTCCATCTGTCTTTTTTCACTGTTCCCCGAAGCCCCCCCCCCACTGGGAATGGAGGGCAAATTGAGGCCTTCTGGTTCGGGTGGAATGGTTTGCTGGGTATGGTGCTCGACTCGGACCGCCTTTGGGAGGCTTGGGTGGTTGGACCCGAGCGCTGCGCGCCCGCCAGCTGCGATTTTGTTTCATCCGCGGCCCCAACAGGGTCCTGGCCGCTTCCCCGGGGGCAGAGTTCCGCCCCGGGTCCGTCTCCGATGGCCCCTGGGCCCGAGACTGGGCCCCCCCAGGGCCAGAATCTGGGAAAACTCGCCGGCGGAGGAAAAACCACACAAGCCGGAGCCCTGGGAGCGCTGCTCGCCCTTTCTCGCTGACCTCGAGACGGCTGCGTCTGCGCGCGCGGCGGCCCCCATCCCGCTGGACCCTCAGATCCGACGCTGCGGAAGAAATGCGCCATCGGGGACCATCACGACCAGAGCCCCAGACCCCATCTGTTCTGCTGCATGGCAGAAGCGCAACGCCCAGATCTCGGGGGTTGGCGGCGCGGGCGGCGCGCGGCTGCCCCATCCCGTCGCACCCCGACCAGACATCGAACCTGCCAGGGTGGGAGGAGGAGGAGGAGGAAGAGGAGGAGGAAGAGGAGGAGGAGGAGGAGGAGGAGGAGGAGGAGGAGGAGGACGAGATGGGTTTTTGGAATTCTGTAGAGTGGCGCTGGGCAAGACCGGCCTCCGGTGCGCGGCTTCTGGGGAGCGCGAGGGGGCCAAAATCCACGCGCGCAGGCCCGTCTGGGCGCACAGTCTGCATCACATGGCGCAAGCCGCAGGGCCACGCGCTGTCTGGGTGGACAGTGCGTGGCCTGACTAGGGGCACCTTACCGGTGCAGTAACATGTGGGTAGGATGGCGGCCGAAGCCGTAGAGTGCCACGCGCTGTCTGGGTGGACAGTACATGGCCGGTCAAGGGGCACCTGACCAGTGCGTTGTCCTGTATGAAGGGTCGCAGCAGAGGAAGTATGTGCCATGCGCCGTCTGGGTGGACGGCACATCGCGGCTAGGGTCGTCAAACTGGTGCGGTGGCCGGTGATGCGGGCAGCGACTGAAGCAGTTGAGTGCCCCGCACTGTCTGGGTGGACAGCACGCGGCGGGTCAGCCTGCGCAAATTGGTGTGGTAACTTGCGAGAGTACGGGCAGCGAAGAATTAGGACGCAGGCCACGTACTGGCGTGGGGAAGGAGGCCTGAGCTGGGCAGGGAGGGCGGCCAGGTCGGATCCCCCGCTGGTGGTCCTGGTGTTTGGGGGGAGCAGCTTGGGGAGACTGGTCGGGCGTGCGGTGCTGGCTGCTGCCTGGTGTGACCGCGATGCCGAGGCCGCAGGGGCCGGGCAGGCTGGGCGGGTCGGGACGGCGTGGCCTCGACTGATCGTTGTTGGGCCAGGTGGGGTCGGCGTGTCCCTGGCCTTTCCCGAAACAGTCGTGGCCCTTCCCTCTGCCCCGGCCGTTGTCTCGCTGTTGCTCGTTGCGCTGGAGGTGGCGCTCCTAGACAGCCCCCCAGTCCATCTGGACTCCCCGCGTTCTGCAGACCTTGCGGATGTCGTCGTAGTAGGCGTGGCACAGGTCATTCACGACTTCCTCGCAGGAGTCGTCATGCCCCTCGGGGTTGTAGGTCCCCCTCCCTGGTGCTCGCTTGTCCTTGGCGTCGCAGAGGGCCTTCCATCCGTCGACGAAGACCTCGCCGCAGTCCCGCGTTAGCCTTTCGACGACCCCTGGCCAGGTTTTGCGTGCGTTGGCTTTGTAGTTCCACGCCTGATACCAGGTGATCATACGTCGGGGCCGAATGGTCGTTGTCGCGGGAATAGCCTGGATCAGCCCGCGGATCTCTGTGCCATGCGTGCGCCTTCAAGCCAGCGCGAGACGGGCCGGCGATTGAGGAGAAGGCTCCCAACCGTGTTCAGTCCAGGCGTGATGGGGTTGCCGACTGCACCCTCGCTCAGCTGTCCTGGGGGACTCGCGTGCTCGTCCGTCTCCGGCTTCGGTTGCTGCGGCCCGTTCTGTCGCTGCGCTGCTGGTGCGGCGGTCGTTGGGGCTGGGTCCACCTGTGCCCGCCCAGGCTGCGCCGCTGTCCTCCGCAGCGGTCGTTGGGGCTGGGTCCACCTGTGCCCGCCCAGACTGCGCCGCTGTCCTCCGCAGCCTGCTCGTGCTGTGGGGGCTGGGTGGCCGTCCGCTCTGCGTATTCTGCGCCCGGCCCCCCCCTGGCACGCCAGTCTCCTGGATCTGCAGGCCCAGCATCGGCTACGCGTTGGAGTGACCCTTCGCCGGAATGATCTGTTTGGTCCCAGACCCCTTCGCGTTGCGACAAAAATCGCGACAAGAGGTTTTTCGTTAGTTTCTGCATCCGCGGGGCCTCTGAACCGTCAAATTCCGACTCGGGATGGACGACCGGTCCCGGGGAACTCGGGATGATTCCGACTCGGGTCCAGACCTCTGGGGGCCGACGTTGGGAACAAATCACGGCGTCGGGGGGTCTGGGGTGCGGGTTCCCTGGGGCCCCCCCCGATCGCTGCATGCGCGATGCGATGGCAGCGGAGGAGGAGGAGAAGGAGGAGGAGGCGAGGAGGAGGAGGAGGAGGAGAAGGAGGAGGAGGAGGAGGAGGCGAGGAGGAGGAGGAGGAGGAGGAGGAGGAGGAGGAGGAGGAGGAGGAGGAGGAGGAGGAGGAGGAGGAGGAGGGAGGAGGAGGAGAGGAGGAGGAGGAGGAGGAGGAGAGGAGGAGGAGAGGAGGAGGAGGAGGAGGACGACGACGAGGAGGAGGAGGAGGGGGAAAGGCGGAGGGGAGGAGGAGGAGGAGGAGGAGAGGAGGAGAGGAGGAGGAGGAGGAGAGGAGGAGAGGAGGAGGAGGAGGGGGGAGGAGGAGAGGAGGAGGAGGAGGAGGAGGAGGAGGAGGAGGAGGAGGAGGAGGAGGAGGGGGAGGAGGAGGAGGAGGAGGAGGAGGACGACGAGGAGACGCAGCCAGCGAGCGAGGCGCCCACGCGGCGTTCACGAGGCGGGCATCGAGGGAGAGCCCAGGGAATTGACCCCAAGAACAAATCCATAGACCCTCAAGGACCTGCCTGCGCTGCTGTTCCCGAGGACACGTGGGACCTCGCAAGGCAGGCGGCCGCCGCCGGGCTCCCGCCAAATAAACCGCCAACTCAGCAGGGGCACTAGCAGGGGACCTGTCGACCCCTATCCCAGGCTTGTGGAGGTTTTCGACTGGACCAAAAATTTTGGGCCCAGCCCTGGGATTTACGATAGGGGCGCGTCCATCCTCGATAGGGGTGCGTCCGAGTAGCCCCCTTGGGGTGTGTCCCAGGGTTTTCCCCGTTTGTCTGAGCGGCCAAAATGTTCGGGGGGGATTGGGGGGAGAAAAATCACCTGCGAGGCCCCGCAGCGCATGGTTGAAGCCCCGCAGAACCCACCCACCCCGCCTTTTAAGAAGCCTTTTCAAAGCATCCCGGACGCCCACAAAGACGGCCTCAAAACGGCGATGCACATCGGGCCCCCGGTAAGGCCTCAGAAGCCCCCAAGGGCAGCCCAGGAGGCCTCCAGGAAGCCTCCAAGAGGCCAGGAGGCTTCTGCGGGGTGCAGGAACGGCTTCTGATGGGCTGGCTTCTCGCCACACGCGAAGCAAGAGCTATTCGCGCCATGATGCACGAACGTCGACTCTGCGTGCAAAGGCGACCACGTAGGCAATCTTTGTCGCTCGCCTGCGTGGCGCCTGCGATGGCGCCTCGGCCAGGAACAATAGTGAGTCCCTCACCGGATCTCCACTTCGGCTTGTGCTGGCTTTTCCGCCAGGCGACAAACCGCACAGCGACGGCAGCTACGAGAGAAGGCCGCCGATCGACTAGAGTAAATTCTAGCATCGCGCGCCCCCGCTTGACCTTGTGCAAGCGGGGAATTGGATTCTGAGGCTCTCAGAGCTGGACATGTCACTTCCTGTGAAGAACAGTCGGCGCGGAGTACTGCTGACCTACGCTTGGTGAGGCTTCGGGTTGCGCACAGACAGCCCCCTCGTGTAGCCCCAGCTGGCCTCAACAGATCCCCCGACACCCCAGCGCCGCCTCCAGCGGCGCCCCTGGGGCGATCCGCGCCACAGGCTGGGGTGCTGAGACTGGCCCGGACTCCTCGAGAGACCTGTTGAGGCCAGCAGGGAGTACCTGGGGGGACTGTCTGTGCGCAACCCGAGGCCTCACCAACTGCTGATTTGCGCTCAGCAAGATCCCGTCACTCAATGCAGAGGCTGGCCAGCGCAGGCCGATGGGCTGCAGAGCGACTTCGGCGTGCGCGGTGACAGGTTCCGATCCCTGGACACGTCCTCGTCAAGGGGGGAAGGGCATCAATTGGACAGGCCCTCCCTGGGCCAAGGCTCGGGGACGAAGCATCCCTGGCTAAGCCAGGAGGCCCAACAGTCTTCGTGTCATGACGAGGATCGCTGAATACAGTAGGGGCCTATCCAGAAGAAACCTTCCACAAGAAACCCAACCCTGAGAGCAAAGGACGTCCATTGACTTTTGGTGTGGGAGCGTCGCGCCCTCTATCGCAAAACCATCGGAACCCAGGAAACCCAGGGCACCCTGGAGACAAGCAGGGTGCTTCTTGGCATGGGCGTCCACTGCAATAAAAGAAAAACAGCCATACACATGAACTCTTGGCGCTCCGCGCGGATTTCTTGGATCCGCGCCGGATCCTCCTCGCCAGCGCACGGAGCGCGCCATGGGCGGCGCCGGAGGCGCAGCCAGGGGAGCCCAGGCGCGGATCCAAAAAATCTGCGCGGAGCGCCAACAAATTATGTTTACGGCGTTTTCCTTCGATGTAATTAAGCAAGGACCGACGACCCCGGCATTCCTTCTGGCCAACTACGAGAGTTCCTTACAACCCCAATTCTAATAACAAAAATAATGCTCTTAGAACATAAACCCGATGTGTTGAAACAAGACAGTCCCGGCCAGAAACGTTCTAAGAACATTTCGCTGAAACCACAAAAAGTTCTTAGAACATTCTTCGGTAGGCCTACAGGTGAGCTGGGACGCTTCGCCACTGCTTGATGTAAGGAATAGATAGGGGGCCACAGGCGAACCCTACCCATACCCCCCCCCCCCACGATTTCTGAGGGGGAGGGTGGGGTTCACTTCAACCGGGAGCTCCCGAGCGAAGTGAACCCCACCCTCCCCCTCAGAAATCGGGGGGGGGGTAGGGGTAGGGTTCGCCCGTGGCCCCCTAACAGTCGGGGGCTCTTCTGGCCGAGGCGAGCCGCGGCCACGACGAGGCCCCCGGGCCTCGGGAGCGGCCCCGGAGACCGGGGCCCCTCCCGAGCCCGGAGCGGCCCTCGTCTCGGCACCTCGGCTGCCTGCAGTTCGGTCGGGCCTGTCCTCCTGCAGGCGACCTTTTGGGAGCAAAGAGTAGGACTTTGTCAAGACACGTCCAGACATGGGCAGAGAGAGTCGAAACATCGTCCCCAGACTCTTTTTCTACTGTGTTTGAAAATGCCTCCTGCGGAGGGAGGGACGTGCCAGACGTAAGTCTACACCGATCCTGGTACTGGTACTGGGCCCGGCCAGGACCTGTGAGGCAGTCAGTTGACGTACCCCTCGGCTCCCAGGGTCCAAACGCAGTTTTCCACGCTGCGTCTAGCCATGGCGACGATAGGGTTGCTGAATAAGCCCCCCCCGTCCGACGGCCATTTCTTGCCCCCCTACGCCCACCGAGCCTAGCCCCGCTAGCGGTCCACCCCCCCCACGCACAGCCAAGGACAGCCCAGTCAGACACTCCGACGTGATCCACACACCCCACGTTTACTGGACAACCTAAACAAACATTGTCTCTGAACTGGCCCTCCTCTAAACACCGATCCGGGTAAAGAAAAAAATACCGATGCTACTATTCCCCAGACCTCCTTTCGGAGTGCGTTCTGAGGAGGAGGAGGAGGAGGAGGAGGAGGAGGAGGAGGAGGAGGAGGAGAAGGAGCGAGTCCAGCGGTGGCGACGAGCGCCAGCCAGGAGGCCCCCCAAAAGGTGAAAACGAGGCAGGTGCAGCGGTATCGGCACTTCTCTTGTTCCTCCTCCGACGATCCTCGCACACCTGGATGATGTGGCCCAGCTTCAGGTCGGGGACCTTGGCGTCGTGGCGCTGGTAGTGCTTCCTCTGTGGCCCTCTCCGCCCACCGCGGTCTCCGCCCGCGGCGCCCTCCCTGGAGCTGGCGCTGCCCAGGCTGATTCTGGCGGAGGCCAGGTCCTGGCAGCGGAGCTCCCAATCGAATCGGGGCATCGCGACTCGGATCGCGCCGAATCGCCCCCAAACAATAACTTTCGCCCTTCAAAGGCCCTCGCCAGGCCCCCGGGACCGTGAACAAAAATGACGCGGGATGAGAAACTTGCCTTGGGGAACGGGTTGGAACTTCCCGGGACCCCGTGTTGAACAAAAGCAAGACATCGCATGTCTGGGATCGAGCCGTCAGCGAGTCGTCCTGGATCGGGTCGGGATCGTATCACCACGCCCCGCTCCGGCTGGCCCTGGCCGAGGCCGGTGAGCCGAACCGAATCGGATCGGATCGAATCGGAGTCGCAGCCCCTGCCGGCGAGTCGAATCGCATCGAGTCGGGTCGTATGCGGCCCAGCCAGCCTGGTCGCCAAGAAGGCTGGAGTTTGATGGCTCCAGGTTGGTGCTGATGATCTCCACGTCTGACGTGTCCTGCAAGTGGTCGGCTTGGCACCATGGGATCTTCAGCACCACCGAGGGGACGCACTGATTGGGCGCGGACTTCTTCACCCGCTCTTCGCTGCACGGCGCCTGATGGGGCTGGGGATGGCCTCTGCGAAATGCGCCCAAAATCGATCTCTGGATTCCTTCCCAAAGTCCGTGCTGACCAGCTCCGCGAGCCGCGCCCAGCCGCGGCGACGAGATCCACAGTCCCCGCAAACCTCCAAAACAACGACGACAACGACGTTGACACGACGACAACGGCGACGGCGGCGGCGACGAAGACGACGACGACGACGACGGCGACGATGACGACGACGACGACAACGACGACGGCGGCGTCGGCGACGGCGACGACGACGACGACGACGGCGACGGCGACGACGACAAGAATGCGCTCCAAAAGCTGGCCTTTGCACCCCTCTTGGGGTCCTCCCTGGCCCGCTCTCCGAAAAGCGCGCCCGGCCGTGGCCACGAGGGGCGCGCCCCGGGAAGCTTCCCCGGACCAAGGAAGCGAGCGCGGAGAAGACGTCGAGGACCGTGGCCACGGCACGCGGCAGCTGGCCCACCAGCGCTCGGCACCAGGAGGAGGAGGCGGAGGAGGAGGCGGAGGAGGAGGAGGAGGAGGAGGAGCTCCCCGCGGGGGACACGAGCAACCCGACGCAAAGGCGAGGAGTTCCCCACATGTTGCAGCATGTAGGGGGGGGGGGGGGCTCCTCTTCCCCCGCGGGGGACACGGAGACAGCAGCACCTCTGAAGTCGCAGCGCGGCGGGGGCAGGCCGCGCGCGCGCTCGGGCGGGCTTGGCCACACGGGGAGCGCAGATGAACGGCGGCAGGGGGAGGGGAAGGACAGCACAGGACGCCGACCATCGCCCCAGAGGACGGCCCCAGAGAGAGCACGGCGGTGGCGCGTCAAAGGGGACAGGCGACAGCGGCCGCGAGGGGGGAGGGAGGGAGGGGAGGGCTCTCACATGGCGAGGGGCGTCGCCGTGGAGCGACAGGGGCGGCCGGCCCGTGCTGCACCCCTGGCAGCGGGCGCGGGGCGGCACGAGCAAATCCACACAAACTCAAGGACTTACAAAACATTTTGCCACATTTCTGGGATTTCCTCGTCCCTCCAATTTCCCGCATATCCCCATGATCTCATGGAAATCCGCATGTGTTGTGTGTTTCTGCAGGTTTCCCCCCCCTGAGCCACTCATTGGGGCTACAGAATCGCGCTCGTGGGCATATGAGCGACGAAAAAAGGGGCCTTGCGCAAGATGTCATAGCGACGTTGCGCGGATTTACGCAGGTCTCCACCGCGCAACGCAACGTTGGAAACGAGGGCGCTCACGCGAGGCCTTACGCGGGCAGCTTACGTGCCAATGTCGGTCACGGCGACTCCGTTTCCAAACGTTGCTCAGATGCTAATCGAGAACGCGCGAAGTGTTACTTCAGCACCCGAAAAGGGCAATTTCTGGGTGTTGAACGCCTGTGGCGTTTGTGCTACATGACGCCGGCATAGTTTCCAAGAGCCTGTTTATGCATTATTCGTGGTAACGCTGGGTCTGTAAACCCACCCTTGTCCCATCATGCCAGGACCTATTGCATTGTTGTCAGGTGTTTTGAATTCGGACTTGTGCATGTGTCTAAATGTAGACATGTCAGGTTTGTGTAAGCCTGCCAATGACCTCACCCACGTGCATGTCAATTCCTGCCGCTGCCTGCACCATGCAATTTGTATACGTTCCCATGTTGTTGGTGCATCGCGTGTGGAGCTGGGCAATCATCGTGTTCTGTATTTCGTTCGGTTGATTGTATGGGCGTGCGAACGCGTCGATGGAGTTACTGGAGATAAAGCTTGGGAGCACCAGGGAGGAGTCAAGTCCGAAAAGCTAATGTGCAGGGATACGTCAGACGGTGATGCAAGACGATCTGGGGGAAAGGATGGCAGGAGGGCGCGCGCAAGGAGGGAGGGTTTTAGGAGCGCCAGCCCGACAACGGGATACGCTGGAGGACCTCAGAACTAAGCGGATTGAGATACGACGCGATGCTGACGGCACCAGGTTGCCAAGCGAAGGGTGCAAGTGCGAGTTCTGGGGTCCTGGGCTGCGGCTGTGGGCGGCCCCCTGTTCCCCCCCCTCCTCTCCTTGTCCTCCTCCCCCGCCTCCTCCTCCGTGAGGCGCGAGGCCCTCCCCCCCGCCACGCCCCCACCCCTTTTGGGCCACTGGGGGAGGAGGGCGGGGGGGAAGAGTCTGAAGAGGAGGGGACCCTGGAAAGGGGAATGGGGGTCGTCGGGGATATGCAAGTCCAATCCGAGGAATCTGAAAATCTAGGCCAGGCGCAGGGAAAGAGTACACTACGGAGGGGGTGAAGGGGGGCGGTTTCGGGCGGGCGGCGAAAGGCGAGAAAAGGGCAGGGGCGACTGGGGGGGGGGGGGGGCGAAAGGAGAGGGGGGGGCGCGGCCGCCGACGCCCCGCAGATCGCAGCGCGCGGCGCGACCAAGATCTCGGACGGCGGCGGGCACGAGGAGACGAATTCTTGTCAGGCAAACGGCAACGGCGGGCCAGGTGGACGCCCATATACATCGACGCGGTGGGCGCTGTGGATAGACAGTGGGGCATCTGGAGTTTCCAGCTGCTGGCGCAAGGGGGTGGCGCAGCAATCTCGACGCGGCGGGGGTCGGCGCGCGGGAACGGTGGAAAACGCCGCGCGGGAACTACGGCAAACGCCGCGCGGGGGGCGGCGGCTAAGTTGATTTTGCCAATGCGTCGGCGAGGGAGACGGCGCAAGGACTTCCGCGCAAATCTCAAGGCGGGGGGGGAGGGGATGGACTATGCGAGAAATCCAAATGCAAGGGGTGGCGGGGGGGGAGACTTGGCAAACATCTCGGCTCGGTGGGCTTGGAGGGGGCCCTGCGAAAATCTCGACGCGATGGGGCGGGCGGGCGGGGAGAAGGCTCTTCGCAAATCCTGGCGCGAGAGGGGGGGCGGAAAGGGGGTTCCGCGCCAATCGCGGCGCGGGCGGGAGGGGGACTTCGCAAAACGCGGGGCCAAGGGAAGACGGGGGGGGACTTTGGCAAAAATCGCGAGACGCGGGGCGGGGGGCAAAAGGGGGGCTTTGCGAAATAATGATGCGCCCCGCTTGCTGCCTGTAAGGAACTACTGACTTGTGGATCGAGCTCGCGCATGGCCACCGTATGAATGTTGAACATGGTAAATACATCAACTTGGGGATTGGAAGCTAGATCAACTCTTTCGCCGTCCATCAACTCTGGGGCTGGGAAACGCATTGGTACGTTCGCTGGGTATCGAAACTTGGGTCGGGAAGCGCATCGGTCACTTCGCCTGGTATCAATTTGGGGTCGGGTATGGATTCTGGAGTTGGGGATCTCATGCGTTTCGAGGTTGGGGAAATGGGGTGGCGTATCATTTGCGTTGTCGATGCATCAAGCCTGGGCTTGGGGAACGTGTTTTTTTCTACAATCACCGCGACGTTCACGACCCCCGCGGCCCGTGCCATGAAGCTGCTGAGAACCGCCAAGATCATGGTCTGATGCAACAGCAGCAGCCAGAAAACCGACGCGGTCGTCGAGTCACTGAGGATCACTGTGGCGACAACTTGTTGTACTTGTCTTAGGCCTGCGCGACCGAACTCTTGGTTCTGCAGCGCCGCCAGAGTCCCCGCCTGCATGGCCTTCTCCATGTTCTGCAGAGTTGAGGCGCGGAAGTCCTCGGGCACGGCGCGCGACCTGGGCCCCCAGAATGCCGGGCCCCGCTCCTTGGAGCTCATCGTCTCCGTCGCGACCAACTAATTGGGGACGGGGCGCAAGGCGGCGCGAGGCCCCCCTCGGCGGCGCAAAGCGACCGCGAGGGCCAGCAAGGATGACGCCCCGAGCAGCCGAGACCCTGGTCTTGAGGCCGCCCCCGAGCGAGAGCCCCCCCCTCTGCGCGGCGCCCTTGGGGTTCCCCAACTTGCAGGTCAAGGTCAACTCATGCTCGCCCGAGGTGATGAACTCCTCGAAAGCCCCACGGTTCCCCCAATGGTTTTCCGATCCACGGCGCGAGAACTCGCGCGCGCGAGGTGGCGGGCCGCCCCCTCCGCCATCGCCCCCTCCGGCTTGCCCCCCGACAGCCGACCTCCGCAGTCCACTCCTCCGCCGCCCAATTGCCGTCGGGGGCCCTTCTCCGCGAGCGCCCCCATGAACTCCCGGGACATCGTCGCGGCCGCCCCCTCGGCAGGCACTTCGTCCTGGCTGCCCTCCGCTGCGCCCTCCTCCCAATTGTCCGGCCCCCTTGTTCTTCGCCCCTATCGTCGCCAATCTTCTCCGACGCCTCGGAGCGCAACGAGAGGGCGAGGCTGCGCAGCCTCTTCGCCGCTGCCTCGCGCGCGCCCCCCATGCTCTCGACGAGCTCCCCCGCCTCGTTCAGGCTGGTCGCCGGCAGCCCGCCCCGGCCCCGCTATCTCGGAGAGGGCGGCCCCCGCCTCGCCCATCGAGCTCGCGGCAGGCAGGCCGCCGCGGGGAGCTTCAGGCACATCGCGCAAATTTATCCAGGCCATCGGGGGCCCAGTCTTGAGCGCGCCCACCGCGGCGTTCCTCGCGGCGATGTCGATCGCGAACACCTCCGCGGGCTCGCCAGTCGCCCCGATGTAGTCGATCCCCATCGGACGCGCTGTCCTCGAGCATCTCGATGAAGTCGAACCTCGTTTGCTCGCTCCCGCTCGCCTCCAAGCAGACCAGGCCCGACGCCCTCTGAGACTCGGGGGCGCCGCCTGCAATCTTGAGGTGGACGCGGCCCGCCGCGGCGCCCGGACCTCCCAGGGCGGGCCGGAATCTCTGGGCCAGACCCTCGTCCACGAACCCAGTCCACGACAAAGCAAAGGCCAGCAGCTCCTCTCGCTGCTGATGCAGTCCTCCATCGACGCCCGAACGTGGGCCACCTCGCTTTCGCGCTGAATTCTGCCCCCTCCCACGTTGGCCACCCCGCCCTCGGCGGTAAACTCCCCGACGCCGCCAGAGATCGCGGCCCCCTTGAGCTCGACGGCCGTGAACTTCGCGACCGCCATCCTCGCCGCGCCGAGCACCCCGTCGACTAGCGGCGGCACTGGCGAGGGCGCCGAGACAGGAAAGTTCCCGGCGCCCCATCGCGACCTTCTGCGCGGCGAGCGCGGAGTTATTTGTCTGCTCGTTGCGGCTCTGCTTCTCCGCGCTCGTCCGCGAGTCCAACTCGCGCTGGCAGTTGGCGGAGGAGTCCTGGATGTCCCGCGGCAGCCCCTATTGAATTGAAAGTTCGCGGGGCCCGCCCCCAGCTTCGGGGCCCGGGCCCCGGCCGCGCGCGCGGCGATCGTCGCCTCTCCGAGCAGGGGGGCGCAGCTGTTGCGCGAGCAGCTCTTGACCACCGACCCCGCCCCGGCAGCAAAGAGCGCCCCAGTCGCCTCGCAGCAGGCCACGGGGGCAGATTCCGAGGAGCCTTTGGCGATGGCCCAAGCGCTCTTCGGCTCGAGGGGGCCCGCATTGTAGAAGCCCTTTCTCGCGCGCATCAGGGCGGGCAGAAGGAGAGCAACGGGGGGGGGTCAAGGCGGAAGGAAAGGCCGCGTCGACCGAGCACAAGAAGTTTAAAGGTGAAGGCGCGCCACGCGCCCTACGGCGCGCCGGCGCGTCGCGCATCAGCATTCGAGCGAGCTCGAAACAGTGGGCACGGCCGCTTCGCCCACTCCAACCAGGGGGCGCCGATGCCCCTCCAACATGATATTCTCGGCGGCGACGGGCGACGGGCCAACGCACTCCAAGGCGCTAGCCAACGCCGTCGGGTAGAGGAGTAAAAGAATACCCCCTCCTCCTGCAGCAGCCCCACCTGCTTCTCGCGCACGCCATCTGCAATCGCCATCGGTAACGAAGCAGATCTCGCGCGAGGCTCGCGAGAACAGGAAGGAGAGTGCGAGGGGCAGGGGGGTGCGAAGCACTCCGGGCGACCGAAAAAAAAAGGAAGGTGAAGATGAATACTCAATACAAGGCAGAGAAAACGCCCAGGCTACGTGCATGAGCCATTTGGGGTCGGGAAACGCATCACCAATCTAGCCAGGGGCCGGGAAGCCGCATCCAGAATCCCGCCGGGCAGCGCGCCCCATCCCCCTCCCTGCCCGTCGGGCCCCTCGAAAGCCTGCGCGCGCAGATGATTCCGCGCGCCCGCGTTCGGGCGCCGGGCGCCCACGTTCGGGGCGCGCGCCCCGGCGCGCGAGGCGTCGCGCTGCCGTCGCTGCACCTTGCCTGACTACCTACCAAACCACCCCAACCCAACCCGAAGACCCGAATTTCGCCCGAATTTCGGGTTGGGGGGATGCGGGTTCCATGTGTTTTTTCAATGTCCCCCGACCCCCCCCAACAGAAATGGAGGGCAAATTGAAGCCTTCGGGTTGGGTTGGGGTGGTTTGGTGGGTGGGTGGTGATTGCCTGGCCTACGCCCCAGAAAAAAGGATTGAACCCCTACGCTGCGGGCCCTGCGCCGCCACCTCGTGGCAGACCACGCGCCAAGACGCCGCGCCCGACGCTCGCTGCCGAGCGCCGTGGTTCCTGGGCCGCGCCCAGGGCACTGGGCCCCACGCCCAGCCTACGAGTGCACCCTGCACCGAGCACCCTGTTGACATGCCCCCGTGAACCAAAATGCGCCCCACAGTTCTAGATGTAAGTCGGGCCTGTCCTCCTACATTGCGATTTTGGACAACACATGGGAATTGACAAAAAATGCCCCAAAATGGTCAAAACAATTCATATATATATATATATATATATATATATAGAGAATCGTAAATCATACTAAAGTAGTTTCGAGTATTCATCCTAAGGAGGGACAGGCCCGATGTAATTCTAGTTTCTACATTCTGTAATCGACACATGCTCCACTGCGCACCCGCCCACGACGCCCGGACCCGGCGCCCTAGCCCCAGACCGCGCGCAACCCAGTTCCTTGACAAGGATCATTCCCTGGACCGCGCGCCATTCGTCCAACGCCTTGCGCCCCAGACCCAGGCCCCAGACCCTTCGCCTTGGGCCTCAGGCCTGAGCGGCTTTGCGCCCCAGACGCTGCACCCCAGCCCCGCGCCCGCAAGCTCCATCACTCGTGCGCGCTCTGAACCTATGCCTGCGCCGTGCGCATGGGCCCAGGCAGAGAGAACCTAACTAGGGCCTGGGGCCCAGGGCCTAGGCCTTCGCCCTGTCTCACATTGCACTCGAATCCCACGCGCCCCCCAGATCCCGAGCACGAAGTCGCAAGGAGTCTCTTGGCCCCGCGGCCGAGCTGCGCGCATAGAGCCTTCGCCCACACCCCAGGGGCCCCAAATGCCAGTGGTAATGCCGACCATGGCGATGGCAATGACCGCCGGAATCTGCGCGCCGAAAGCCACGCCAGCTTGGCCCTTGCGCGGGAGAGCTGAAGGCGACAGAGGAACGGTTGGCCATGGCTCTGCGTGTCTGAGTGAATCTGGATAGAGGCACAGCAATACGCAGTGGCAGGAGAAGCATGCAGCGGCAGTGCGGGAGCGAGGGGCCATGATGCTTGAAAATAACCAGCCGACTGATCGAATCCATATTTCTTCATAGAAGCCGCCAAACGTGGTTCGTTCCAATCTGACTTCTTGACAAAACTTCCCATCACTCTTCAAACTACTACCCCAAAATACATGGAATTGCATGTCCGAGGGAAACCACACTGACGATGAAATGAAATCGTCTGAGGGCGGGAAGGCAGAGGAGGACAGGGGGCCAGGCGCAAAGGCTGCGCAAGTTTCCCAGCATTCCTCGCCAGCCAGGTCCCGACACAAGAACAACGGCAGGCTCATGGGGCTCTCACCGTTTCGGCCGCTTCGGCCCACAGGTCCAGAACGAGGCGTGAACATAGGAACATCACCATTACTTCGCCCACTCCAGGTCCAGATAGTGACTGGCACAAGGGGTAGAAACTCCTCACCGCTATGTTGGTTTCCAGGTCCAGCGACTATGGCAATGCCCGCCATTTGCACAAATGTCCTAGCATTGTTTGGTACATACTTGAAGAACTCGCTGCAAAACAAAACGCCGTATTACATGC